CTGTGTAGTTTTAAAATAACTTAAAATATCTAACGATAATTTTTTCTTCTTTATCTTTCTATTATTTTTTTTTTCATTTTTTACAAAAAATTAAATGAAATAAAATAAGATAATCATAATAACTTTTTTAACAGAATAAAGGTGCTCTGTCAAAAAGATAAATTTTGCAATACTGGATAGGTACAACAACCTCTAAAAATCTTATTTAAGATGCAAAAAATACATAAAACATAAACATAAAAAGATTATTAAAAATGTTGAAACAAAACATTTAAAGATTGTCAAATTATGATATTAAATTGTGAAACATCGAATCAGTTTTCGATCATATTCCTTTCAAATTAATTTTTTTTTATAAAAAAAAATACGAAAATACGGTAAAAAATTATAAAAAAAAACTCTTGTAATGACTAAATTCTGCGTTTTTTGGAGTCAAAAAGTATTTAACATATTATGTATACTATATTATCTTTATCTGTGTAGTTTTAAAATAACTAACGATGTTTTCTCCTTTTTCTTTCTTTTATTTTTTTTTTCATTTTTTGTAAAAAACTAAATGAAATAAAATAAGATAATCATAATAACATTTTTAAAAAGGATAAAAGTGCTCTGTCGAAAAGATACATTTTGCAATACTGAATAGGTACAACAACCTCTAAAAATCTTATTTAAGATGCAAAAAAATACATAAAACATAAACATAAAAAGATTATTAAAAATGTTGAAACAAAACATTCAAAGATTGTCAGATTATGATATTAAATTGTGAAACATCTAGTCAGTTTTTGTTCATATTCCTTTCAAATTCATGTTTTTTTATAAAAAATACGAAAATACGCTAAAAAATTATGAAAAAAACTATTGTAATGACTAAATTCTGCGTTTTTTGGAGTCAAAAAGTATTTAACATATTATGTATACTTATTGAATTTCTCCGTCTGGGCACTCTTGTTGTGCAAAATATAATGTTTGGTGGTTGAAAAAGTGCTTTACAATAAACAAAGTAGGAGAAAAAGTTATTTTAAGATACATGTTGTCCTGGCTAAGATTTCTTCGATCAATATTATTTATTTATTTATTATATTATTTATTTAATAGATTAAAACACAAAAACCTGGCTCAAAAAAGAATCAATTCCAAACACATTTAAAGAAAAAGTGTATTTTAATTAATTATAAAAAGTTTTTGCAAGGATTATTACACTGAAGTTAGAAAATGAAATGTATATCACTGTTTTTTAAAAATTTTGCAGAAAAAAATAAGTATCAACTGAGAGTTCCAATGCATTTTTGTAAATTTAAAATTAGAAAAACAGTTGAATAAGGTTATAATATTTAAGATAATTGATAACACAAACTTATAACGTTTTATACTAGAATTACATGTGTATTAAATCTGTGGTAATATAGCACATTAAAAAACAAATAAAACTATCAGTGATAAGAAAACAGTAATTTGCAATAAATAGATCGGACAGAAGTGGACCAATGCTAGCAATGTTTTATTACTTTCTCGTTGAAAAAAATTATTGTTCATCCTTAATAAGGCTCCTCCCTTATCAAGGGGCGCAAGCGCGAGCCATTATCCTTTGCCATTATCTCCTCCCCGTTCCTTCATTAGTAGCGTCGTCTACCGGTTTAACCCTTCCCTTTCAGCGTCGTTCAATTAAAACTCAGCCATGGCTCTAAAACGTTTTTAAATTCGGTCGTTAATAAATAATTAGAAAAAATCAAACGACAACAAATAACGGAAACGTTCGAGGCTTCAAGCGACAATATTATTGAGTTAGGTCAAGGAATTTGAAAGGACGAACTATAAATAAACTTCTAAACACTTAACAAATAGAGTTGAGAGTTTGTCATTATTGACACTGATAAACGACATTTATTGGGGCAAATAGCTCGAAATAATAATTATTAAGTCGTAAAAAAATTCGGCAAATGGGGTTTTGGCGCCGGAATCGGTTTTATTATCTCGGGCTCCGGGCTTTAATTAAAACTATGAAAAAACAAGTATTTTAATTACAGTTAATTAAGAGGCATATTCAACAAAAATGGTTCTGCAAAAATTTTACTTTTACAACCAAAAAGGTTTTTTTACAAAGGCTGTGATAAAGATTACATCTGTCTAAATTTTATTGAAAAAAAAAACATACAAATTACCATTTTGAGAAAAAAACCGTATAACTCACCCACAATTTTTATTGCACTTAAATTTTTCATAATTATTATTTTCTGAAATATAAAATTTATCAATGTTAAACGTAAATATTTGAGGAAAGAACTATCGTGAAGAATGATTAATTTTATTTGGAAACAGCTGTTTACCAAAATTAAATGACTTGGGTCAGAAATAAAAAAACTTTGACTAGCAATTGCCTTTATTTTAATAATATTATTATTAATAATAGTAATTTAAATAAATAAATTTAATTTGTAAATTGGTGATAATCTATAATCATGTTACTTTTGATAAGCTTTTGAGTTAAAAAAAAATGAGGTCGTCTAGTATAATTTTTTCTTATTATGGCATTGATAAGTTATTTTTTTGGCAAAAATCTCACCTCTTTTGGGGGTGCTTTCTTGCAACAGCGGCATTTTCCGGCGCTTTTTTCACTCGAAAATGTCCATCACGTACGCCACTGTCACTTTCTCTTTAATTTTGTTTATCATGTGTTACGATCGTGTGGTGGAATCGGTGCATACAGAACCGTACCACAAGCCAAACAGTTGCTTACTGAATGTAAAAATTCTGCACGCACGAGGGTTGACCTAACCTAGCCTAACGTAACGCATTTACCCCCTCTATTTTCGGTAGAGGGGGTTGATTTTAACAAAGAGTGGGGAGAACTGGAGCATCCCCTCTGATAAGGAAGTACAGAGTGGCCCGGGGCTAACAAATTTACTTGGGTTTATGGTTTATTGTGCACTGTATTGAGGCCTTGTTGCAGATTTTGCACTTGTGGTGGTGGGTAAGGTCGTAAATCATGGGGATGAGGGTTGAGGGTTTTGGAGGTTTACAAGCAAACAGTTTTCGAGTGCTTCATTTTACAAAAAATTAATAATTGGGTCAATGTTAAATTTGTTAAATGTTGTTGTTAACTTTATTTCTTTTTAATTTAGTTTTTTAAAGGGCACAGAGACAATGCCAAGTAACAAAAATGGAAAAAAATTTATCTATAAGATTTCAAAATTATGGAAGTTTAAATTTTGCAAAATTTTTTGCTGCAGGCTATTAGAAGAGGAAACAAAAAAGCTATATCCTGAATTGTAACTATTATTGACAAAGTTTTTGTACCTTTACTGAATAATTATAAAAAAAATATTAGGTATACAAGACATAAATGTTAAAAAATAAATGTCAACATTTTTTGATATACAGAATTTTTTAAACATTTCTTCCATGTTCCTGGTTTATTATTTTACTTGACATTTTTCTCTGTATGCTAAAAAACATTTTATTTTTGGCAGTATGTATTAGTAATTTTGTTTTCTATTTTTTTAATTACTTTGTATTAACAATTATATTGTTTTTTTCATTATTTTTACGAAACATTATATAAAAATTATATAAAAAATAAAAATAAAATACAAAACATTCAAAAAGTACGTTGTTGGGAAGTAGAGTCCGCGTAAAGCAAGATCAGCATGTTGCGTCATCAATATCTGACAACAGGCGCCGCGTCAGTGGCGTAGGCATAAATAGTCAACCAAGGGGGTCGTTGTATTTTAACAAATAAATATTTAGTTTTGAAATTTGTTAAAAAATTTCTTGGCCAGTGTTATAAACCATCTCTTAAATTTGAAAGTGGACTCGCCTTAACAAAAATTTTCCTTCAACGTAATTTTATATAGCTCGCGCCCCAGAGAAAAAATGCCATATAAAGTAAGGTACCAGGAACATAGAAAAAAAATTTGAAGTTATGAGTTTAAATTTTACACTTTGACTATTTTTATTTCTGTTGAAAAAATAATTTTCCAAGTTGAGGAAACTCCGTAGATAATGTTAGAAATAGAATATTTTTTTATTAGAAGTTTTACGATTAGTTATTTTTGAGATTATTTAAAATAAATGCGAATTGKATTATTTAATTTACAAATCAAATTTTTTGTATAAAAATTAAATTTATATTAGAATCTGGAGTTTATTATGTATTTAATGATTTCAGGTATTTAGATTTTGTTTTCAATATTTTTCAACTTACAAGTATATTATTACACATTTACTGCGTTTTTTTTATTTTTGTAAATTAATTGATTCTTATTCTTTATATTCTATCTATCTATTCTGATTCTCGTTTCTTAATATAACAGAGTTATTTTTTCTACTTGGAATACATTTTTTTCTAATATTGTTAATCAATTAGATTTTAATAACCATTCTTTAATCAACAATTTGATATGTTATACAGAGTGAACAAAAAACAAATAAACAAGAGTTTTTATTTAAACAATATACAGGGTGCGCCAGAACTCGCACCCCAGAGAAAAATACCATAAGATACCAGGAACATGGAAAAATTGTTAAAAAAATTTTATCTATAAAAATTTTGAAGTTATTAGGGTTTAAAGTTTGCACTTTGACTCTATTTATTTCTGTTGGAAAAATAATTTTCCAAGTTTTTTTGCTATAGGCTATTAAAAGAGAAAACAAGGAAGTTGTATCCTAAATTGTAACTCTGTTCAATGTTATTTGTGGGTTTTATTGATTAAATAATTGTAAAAAACATCTACAAGATCATCAGTATCTTAAAAAAATGTCAAAAAATAAATGTCAAATTTTTTTGACAGACAGAATTTTTTAAACATTTATTTCATGTTCCTGGTATCTTTTCTTACTTAAAATTTGTTTCTGGGGCGCAAGTTCTGGCACACCCTGTATATGTGCTGTTCTTGTTTTGGGCGGTCTCTACGTGTAGATAACACAAAAAATGTTTTAAGGTCATATTTTACAAAATCTGAAAACAAACTTATTTTGTTTTGAAGTTCTTCAATTCATATTATTTTCTTTTACTTTTCGTATTTTACTTTAAGTAACCGTTTTTTGTATCAATGGTGAATAATTGTTTTTGCATGAATTTCTAACAGTATTATTTTTTTTTTAATTATTTATTTGGCAAAAAATGATCGTTTGCAGATATGACAACAGTGTGTATTAATTTTAGTTATTGGTATAAAACTGAGGTTTTAACAATAATTAACTTTTTTGTTGTTCGATTTCACTGCCATTGGTCAACGTTGCCACTTCTAATTTTTTTCGTACGTTTTTTACCAAAAAATGGATTTTTTAAATAATTTTTATCTTTAGATTAAACATTTTTCTAAGCACTCTTCATTGAGTTGGTGCGCCCTGTATATTAATGACTGGTACAATAATAATAAGTTTCTTTACTGGAAGATCGAAATTGGGTCAACTTTCGTGTTGAAGAAATGCAACACAGAAAAACTATAAAAAGCATCTAAGAAAAAATTGACAAGAAAATATAGTTTTCCACCTTATTACAACAAAATTAAGCACTCAAAAATACAAATATAAAAACAAATAGAAAAAGTTTTTAAAAGTTATGTCAACACTTCAAAAAAAGAAAACAATAAATCAAGAGTCAATAAAAGATCTAAAATTGTGGAAACAAAAATAAATTTATTAAAATCT